CACGCGGGGACGCCGGGACTCGCTGCCCACGCGCCGCTGGGAAATAAATGAACTTCTGTATGCACCCCCCCGGCCCGGGGAGCGGCGCAGCTGAGGGCCGGGGAAGACAGGGGCTGGCCTGGGAAAGCATTTCCCGGGGAACACAAGGCTGCTGGGCCCGGGGGAGAAGCGCAGCCCCGGCCCGGGCGCGGAGGGCAGCTGAAAGGCGGCGGGGGACCCCCGGCCCGGGGAGCGGCGCAGCTGAGGGCCGGGGAAGACAGGGGCTGGCCTGGGAAAGCATTTCCCGGGGAACACAAGGCTGCTGGGCCCGGGGGAGAAGCGCAGCCCCGGCCCGGGCGCGGAGGGCAGCTGAAAGGCGGCGGGGGACCACCATGAGCCGGGTGCATGCAGGCAGGCGGGTTCCTGCCCCAGCCACGGGCTCTTTCCCCTTTTCCTTTCCTTCCGCGTGTCTGCTTCTCCGGGTTCTCTTCCTCTCCGTGTAGCCAGGCGGCTCTTCTCTCTCCTTCCTGCCTCCCTCTGTCTCTGTGCATTACAGGGAAGTCTCTGTCTGTATGCATGCAGAGATGCATGCATGCATGCATACGTACACTGTGCGTGTGTGTAGAGCAGGTCTCTATCTGCATGCATGCATAAATACATGCGCACATATATACATACCCTGCGTGTGTGTGTGTATGTGTGTGTGTGTGTGTGTAGAGGAGGCATCTGCATGCACGCATACATGCATGCATACATATATACATACATACTGTGTGCGTGTGGAGGAAATATCTATCTGCATGCATAAATACATACATGCATGAGGACATATATACATACCGTGTGTGTGAGTGTGTGTGTGTGTGCGCGCGCGCAAAAGAAGTATTGATCTGCATGCATATCTACATACATACGGGTGTGTGTGTGTGTATGTTCACTTAGGGACACACAGAGCCACGTTCTCCTGTTGGGAGTGGGGGGTGTTGCGGTGGGGGCTACAGTGAGTAAGCGGTGCCTTGAAAAGGGCCCTCCACCGCCCAGTGGCCAGCCCGGCTCCCTGCCCCTGGCAGCGCCTCACCAGGGGCTGTGGAAGCCCAGGAAGTGGGCCCGGGCCCCTCGACGGGCCTGACCCGGGGAGGCAGGAATACCACCCCCTTCCAGATGCTTTCTGCGTGGAGCTGAGAGCAAAGGGGCTGCGCGCAGGGTCCCTGGGCACGCGGGGCTGGGGGCGGGGAGGGGCAGGCTACCCACAGCCCCCTCCAGCCTGTCCGGGCTGTCCGCACACCCAGGACACCGGACAGGGAACGGGCTGTCAATAAATCCATGGTGATCGCCATGGCTCAGGCACAGCTGGAAGCGCTCAGAGGCTCGGGGACGTCAGATGTGCATGTGTGTCACTGGAGACAGATATACCCGCACAGTGATAGGCATAGAGTATAAGCACCCGTCAGGCGAGGCTGCAAACTACCCAGGTGAGTCGCTTTATTGTCTTCGGCAGGACTTCTTACGAAGAGAGGGTTTGCTGGATAGGACCCTAAGGTGTTGTCGGGTTGTTTTGGCCTTGTTTACAAGGAAGGAAGGAAGGAAATTTGGTTTTGTGGGGGGCGGTCACCTTTAGCAACCTATTTGCAAAAGATTATTCACTCTACATGCGTGCATGCATGATCCTTCAGGCGCAGAAGAGCCGGGACCCCCAAACATCCAGCATTTCCATAGCACAACCTTCCCGCTCGCTGGAAACCCGAGTGCGAGGCACTCAGCCCGGGCAGACGTTAGAATAACATTTACACTTTGAAACTCCTGATCTTTACATTCAGATCAGACACATACACTAAATAGATCCTTGGAGAGAGAGACAGACAGTAGGTCAGACAATAAAATACAGACGTGCAGGGGATAGACAGACAGGCAGACAACAAAATATCACCTCTCGTCTTTCTAGGGAAAAAGCAATATTGAAATCTGAGAATATTCTTTGGTTTCAAAAATAACTAAATACATAAATAAATAAAAGAACAGACCAAAAAGGACAAAGAATTCAACGTTCACGGAGACTCCAGCTAATATTCAAATTGATATTGAAACAGTTCCAATATTTTCAGTCTGTTCTGAGTCCTTTCAGGTCAATACATGCTGGTTTCCAAAGCTTTATTGGACTATGTAAAAAAAATCTATAGCTTACCATTTTTAAAGCATTACTAACTATTCCGAAGCTTTGGATTTAATAAGGGCCATCAATAGAGAACACGTCTATTCCTTTGGAAATCATCTTCCAGCCCTCTAAATCTATTACAATAGCCTGCATGAGACAAATCATTGTAATGCGTTTGGGGGGGGTGGGGGGATAGAAGTCTCCATTTAGCTGCTATTGACCCAGATGCATTGCACCAACCACCCTCCAAAACCAGCACAACAAGTGTAATTTATGCGGAAGAAGAGTCATTTCGACATGGAGTATTTTATTTTAATTATTGTCAGCTTTCCTCGTTGGATCCAGCCCCTTTCCCTGGAATCTCTGGGCAGTTTCTTTCTGGAAGGTAAAAACCCGGGAGAAGTGTCAACCTCCCACTCTTGAGAAAGCGGTCGGGAAAGCAAGCGGCGTGTGTGTGTGTGTGTATGTGTGTGCGTGCGCGCGCGCGTGCGTGTGTGTGTGTTGCACACGTCATTTGCTTCGGAATACTTGAAGCCCTTCTGCCCAGCACCCATCTGTCACTCCCTATACCGCCCCCGCCCCCCCACACACCTAGTTTTTCATGTTTGCAGCAGCTGCATACCCCAGCTTCAATGCTGGGGGTCAATACCTTGACAAACGCACCCCCCCCTTTGCAGCTGCACCTGCTGCACCGCTTCCTTTCGACTTGGAGCAAACCCCGGATCCCCACAACGGGCTGAGACTCTGCATCCACGCAGCTTCTTAACTTGATCTGAATATTCAGGCCGCGGCTTTGCACTGGCCTGCTCAGGCAAAATACCCCCAGCGCCATCAGGAAGCTCCGTCTCCTTCCTTCCCTCCCCCTTTGCAGAGATGTATGACAGCTTCTTTCTAAGAAGTTCCCTCTGGGAAAAAAAAAAATCTTTGCTTTCACAACGGAGGATGGTTTTTACTATTGCTCCTTTTTCTAGTAAAAGAGAGGTGGGGGGAGCATCATAAAAATCAACCCTGGAAGCAGGTATTTTATTTCCTTAGTCTGTGGTAGGCCTCGTCAGTGACAATAAATGAATACCAAGCCCCTGGAAGAGGGGGCCGGGAGCGGGGATTGTCTCCAGGCTCCCGGGAGGAAGACTGGAGCCCGGGGTGGGTCCAGCGGCCGAAGGAGCAGGAGGCTCCCAGACCCTGAGCAGGGCTCGACCTCTCGGCCTGTCCTCGCAGGATGGAGCAGGTCCAGGCCGGGGAGGGAAGCAGGACACTGCGGGGGGAAGCTCCCCATCAAGCCCCGGAGAAGTCTGTCGCTGTCCCAAGCGCCCCCGCTCCGCTTCTGAAGGGCAGGCACCGCCAGCCCCTGGGGCGGGGACCCTTGTCCGGCTGCCCCCCCCGGTGCCCGGGGTCCCCCTCCTCCGGAGCTGGCTGCGGGAGAGCAGCACGGCAATGCAGCGGTCGGCCCCCAGGGGGCGGGCTAGCACGGCACGGCAAGGCCTGGCCGGGCACGGCCCGGCACTGCCCCTCCGCACGGGGCGGGCTCCGGCAAGCGCCCTGCGCCCCGCATCCTCCGAGCGCGGTTTGACTTCACCCTCGCAGAGGGCTCCGTGAGCAGGTCTGGCCGCCTTCCACCCTCTGGGGCAAGAGGAAAAGGACTGGAAGGGGGAGATCTCCGGGCGGGGTCCTCCATGCTCACTGTTCCCTGACCCCAGGGGCTGAGCTTGGCCTGAGGCCGGCGGAGAGGGGAGCAAAGCCTCCTGCTCCCTGGATGTAGCCGAGCCAGCCGGCGATGGCGATGGGGCCAGGCCCCCTTCCCCCGCCCCCCACACACACGCCTTTCCTGCGGGCAGACCCACCCCGCAGGGATCCCCAAAGCATCGGCCCTAGTTACGAGAAAGGGGCAAAGTCGGGCTTGCTCCTGACAATTCCCGTGGGCTTCAATTATGGGAGGCTCCTCTGCCCTCAGCACCCACGTGCGTGCGTGGGAGCGGGGGCAGCCACCAGGCCAAGGGCCGTGATGATGGCCTGGCATCGCCGCTTTCCAGGAGAGGGTTTCAGGGCATCTGCAAGGTTTATTCCAGTCCTTTGAACACGGGAGTCGCCTTGTGCCCTCTTACTCCAAACACCACTACTTTGCAGTTGCCTCGCTTGCTGCCTTTCTGTGTGCATCCGTGTGCGTGCTTGGGCATCAGGCTGGGCAGCTCTCCCACGTTTATGTCATGTAATCTTCGAACTCGAAGATATTTTGCTCATCCTCACCATCCCTCGCAGAGTTAGAGGCCTGTGGCAGGGACTGGGAGCCGGGCACAGGACGGCCCGATCTGTACCATCTCAGGTGCTTGGGGAAGTGGGGATATGGAAAGGCTTTCTGACTGTTCTCATTGCAGGGA